GGGGTGCGAAGGGGTTGGCCGCAAGCGTTGTTGATGTGTATTTTGGCAAGGGTTGTCCTGGGCATCTCCATCACTCCTTTTCCTTTTCGGCTCCACGCAGGTGGAGAATGGGAAGAGGAGGAGGAAGGTCGTTCCCGCGGTGAGTAGCTCCATTTCTGAGCGAGGGTGAGAAAACACCGCCCCAGCTTCACCCCGTGGCTCTTCGGGGGCTTTAACGGCTTTGGGAGTGTCACGCTGGTTTCTGGCCCTGCCCTGTCATCACCGATTTCATGCCACTGGCACCCACCAAACCCGGTGTCCCGGCATCACTCTCACCAACCTCTCTCCCTGCAGTGGGTTTCTCCCGCAGCGGGGACGCCATCACCGACGAGGATCTCCTGCACGTCTCGGAGCAGCTCTACGGGGCCGATCACAACAAAGCACGCCCGACTGACATCGCCATCAACCCCCAGTACCAGGCGTCCCCCGGCGAGACGGGCGACCAGGAGGATCGCTCCCCACAGCCGTGAGTGTGCCCCCGTGGCCGTGGGCCACCAAGCAGAGACCAGCGAGCCCAGCACGGTGACGGCTTTGGAGGGGACCCCGCTGAGCATAGGACCTGCTCTCTCCTAGGCTCTTCAGATACGTCAATGAGGAGCTCTTCTCCAAACCCACCTACTCAAGCTTCATTAAACTGCTGGATAATTACCAGAGGGTGACCGGCAGGGAGGAGGAGGGGACGGCGGGGGGGCTGAGGGAGCAGGACAACTTCCTCAAGGAGGTGATGAAAACCGAGCTCATGAAGAAACTCTTCGCCTTCCTCCACAGAAAAAGTGAGTGTGGAGCAGGGCAGGGCTGACCAGGGAGATCGGGGGGCGTCCCTGATGTCAAGCCCCAGCTGGGTGGGAGATGACCTGGGAGGACACAGCGTGGAGGAGCACGGGAGTGGGTTCTCCGGAGCTGCCAGGACGTGGGAGAATTGAACTGAAAGAAGCTGAATTGTTCCTGACTGGGACAGGGCTGGGTGGGGGAGCCCCATCTCTGCTCCCAGCCCCTGTCCCCGGATGTCACTCCCACCTCTCCCCACCGCCTTGCCCGCAGATCGTTACGACTCCGAGCGGGAGTTCGTCGATGATTTGAAGGAGATGTGGTTCGGACTCTACTCCAGAGGCAACGGCGAGCAGGACTCCAGCGGCTTCGAGCACGTCTTCTCAGGTGGAGCCCACACAGGTGGGACGGAAGGTGCCGGGGAGCGCTGGGCTGGGTGGGCTCACCCCGGGGTCTCCCTTGTGTTTTAGGGGAAGTGAAAAAAGGCAAAGTGTCTGGATTTCACAACTGGATTCGCTTCTACCTCCTCGAGAAACGGGGCATCGTCAACTACTTCAGCCACAACTTCGATGGGCCGGTAAGTGCCCCCGGGCACCCCACATCACACACGGGGCGAATCACCTCCTCTCTGCCTCCCTCTGTGGCCCCTGGGCTGGAGGCAGGGTGGGAAAATTCAGAGCAGACAATGCAATGGGAGAAAAGGGGCTCCTGAGCCACAAACGGGAGATCTGAGCTTGGGGAGGCTCTGTCTGGTGGCCCCTCAGGCCGGTTGAAAGCTGCTCCGGATCTGTCCCTGGAGAAGGTGTGAGGATGGCACATGGGCTCTGCTCCAATTCCCTGCCCTGCTGCCCCTGGAGCTGGTGGTCTGACCCCTGAACCCCCTTTCTCTAGTGGGACACATACCCCGACGTGCTGGGGCTGCAGTTCAGCTGGGATGGCTTTTACAAAGAGGTGGGCTCTGCCTTCATCGGCTCCAGCCCCGAGTTCGAGTTTGGCCTCTACACGTTGTGCTTCATCGCGCGTCCTGGGAGGGTGTAAGTACCGTGTCTGTCTGCGTCCGTCTGTCTGTCCTCCCTCCATGCACCCAGCAGCTGGGTCAGCCCCTGAGCCCAGGAAAACTCTGGGACATCGCAGGTTGGAGCAGGGCTGGGGTGGGGACACCAAGAACGTCCTGGGGATGTGACTGGGGGGCTCAGGGATGGAGCTGGACTGAGGTAAGGACACTAAAAACGTCCTGGAGGTGTGGCTTGGGGGCTGAGGGATATCCTGGAGATGCAGTTGGGGCTCAGGGATGGAGCAGGGCTGGGGTGGGGACACCAGGAACATCCTGGAGATGTGACTGGGGGGCTCAGGGATGGAGCAGGGCTGGGGTGGGGACACCAGGAACATCCTGGAGATGTGACTGTGGGTCTCAAGGACATCCTGGAGATGCAATTGGGGCTCAGGGATGGAGCAGAGCTGGGGTGGGGACACCAAGAACATCCTGGAGATGTGACTGGGGGGCTCAGGGATGGAGCAGGGCTGGGATGGGGACACCAGAACATCCTGGAGATGTGACTATGGGGCTCAGGGGTGGAGCAGGGCTGTGACACAAACTGTGTCCCCACAGGTGCCACCTGAGCTTGGGCGGCTACAGCCTCAGCATCCAAACCTACACCTGGACCAAGTCTACTTACGGCAATGGCAAGAAGTACATCGCCACCGCCTACGTGACCTCACCCTGAGCCTGGTGACCACGGCCCCGCTCGGGGGTCCCGGGCTGCCCCTTGCCAGGGGCCCGTGGCTCTGGGCAGGACTGGTCCTGCTGTGGGAGGCGGGTGACCAGTGCCGGCTACTGGAGGAGGGGACAGAGGTCTCGCTCCCTTCTCCCTGGCCCAGGTCCCATCGGGTGTCGTGTCCCCCAGTTGCAGCAGAAGAGCAGGGGGAAGGGAAGGACTTGCAGTGGAAAGGAGCCCCCTCGAGTGAAATAAATACTGACCCTGGATGGAGAAGTGTTT